TAATTGAAAACAAAACCAACAACTCTACTTTGAAAGTAATTATTTCTTTGACAACAAACAGAATGTCAAATACAGGCAGGTAATGCTGCAGTCCTGCATGCACTTTAAACTCCTCTTCCTGGAGGCATGAAGTCTTCCCTGTTTTCAGGCAGTTGTATTTGAACGTTTTGAACCAGGAGATTTGGGGGGGGGTGCAGAAGACAGACAAAGGCTGAACAGTTTTCATCTGACTGTAAGTCATTAAAAGCAAACCAGATGGTTCACTTAACCGTGGTATTAAAGTAAAATGAGTGAAAGTATGCCTAGGGTATAGTAAAATCTTTTATTTGTCATTCATCCTCAGCCTTAGCCAGCGATTGATGGATGATTTCACAAAAGTGTCCAGATTAGATTCTGAATGAATCAATTTACTGTAATATTAATACAGTGCAATTGCTGATACATTTACTTTTTATTGCATAGACTTACTTTTTCATAATTTTGCTTACCTTTGGGGTATTGCTCAGTTCAGTCACCAATTGAAATGAATGCCATTGAGTAACACTGAGTTCCTATGGAAATAAAAAATCTACCTTTACGTGGAGTCCTAAAAACCTTTGGCTGAAGTAACTTTGTCTTGAGGAATGGTAATATGATACAGCCCAGATGACGTGAGTACTGTATCCCAAGACATTTTATTCTATCCCGTGACTATCTACCACGGGCCATTTATCTGACCAATGTTATGCAGAGGATAATGGACGCTCTTTTGCAACATAGGTTAGCACACAAAGTGAAGCTATAATATCTTGCATTGGCTAGGATCGGTCCTGCTAAAAGCATCTGCAGTATAATTTATAAGCATGTATCATCACAGCAAGCTTCCTTTGCAATGAGTTGTCCAGGTATTGAAAAATAACTTCAACTTAAAAGGAAGAGGAGGGGTTGTTACTACTACTCATTTCATCCTCATAATATAACAATGCTGTTAAGTTTTATATACAAAACCATCAACTGTGATTTTAAGTGCATCTTGCCTCCAGGCCCTTCTTTTGGCCTCAGCTTGCACCATTTGTCTCCTTCAATTTTATTCCAATTTTTTTTTTTTACCGGGTTAAAGTAGCAATTTCCCCCTTCATATGTGTCACACAGACAAAACATTGCTTCCAAGATAAACTGACACTTAAGAAAAAATAAAACAGATGATTGTCTTTGCCTAGATAAAACTTTTCTACCAAGCAAATGGTCAAGGACAGATAAGGTAACCTAGAATAACAAATTGTTTTTTCCGGTATTTTCCTCACAACTGAATGTTACAAATTTATCGTCTATCAGAAACTTTTCTAGAAACCTGCTTGTTTTTTCTCATATATAAACCCAATTATTTTCTTAAAAGGAGGGAACAAAATCCAAACTATTTTGGCCCAGCTATTAAGCAGTTGATGCCGATGTGATGATACAGGCCTAACCCACAAAGTTGATGACAAGCAGCTAGAGAACTATCCTAGTTTACTGGAATCAAACAGATTGTAATCATACCATTTGAGATCCTTTGTGAACCAGGTTCTTGAGGCCACACATGATCACACACTGTAAGTTAGTGGTTGGTTTGAAGAGCAGGCACTCAGCTCTACATAGCATAACTGGTACATAGGACATGACCTCCCCCAGGTCTCACTCTTGTGGGAAATAATCCATGTACAGCCTGGCCAGCTGAGCACTTTGTTCTGTCATGTCTTAGGAAAGTTGTAAAACTAAAGGTATTGAAGTTGGAAAGGATCTTGTCAGAGGGAACATTTATTTTCAAAAGTTCTTTTGCTGAAGGTCTAGAGATTGAACTTTTGATTAAGATCACCTTATTTTCAATATTGATGAGTCATTACACTGAAATATACTTTATCTTGATATCCAAAGTCACAGTCGATCTTAAACAGGTGGATTAACTGTGGAGGAGGAGTGGAAGTTTAATAAACTATAGGCTTGAAAAAATCACACAAGTTTGTCTTTAGCTGTACAGGTGGGCTGGGCTAGTGTCGTGGTTTAGGCTGCTCCGGCAACTAAACTCCTCACAGCCGCTTGCTCACCCTCCTCCACCCCCGGGATGAGGAAGGGAATTAAAGGAGAAAAAAAGAAAAGAGACTTGTGGGTTGAGATAAGAACAATTTACTACTACTGCTACCTATATATATATATGTATACACATACATATATACACACAGATATGTACAATGATAAAGATACACAAATGACTGATGTACAGCGTAATTGCTCACCACCCCTTGACCAAGGCCCATCTTGTCCTGAACTAATGATCTCGAAACAGATAAATCCTGATACCGCAATCCCAGATGAGCGAGAGGCCCAAAAATAGCAAGCGAGACAGAGAGAGCACTCTGAGAGTCCGAAAGTGAGAGTCCTGGAAGAGCAAAGGCCCTTCTTTCCGACTGTCCCTCACTTTTATACTGGGCATGACACTGCATGATATGGAACAGTAATTGACCAGTTTGTCCCTCAATCCTAAGTCTAAGTACAAATCGTAAGGAGAGTCGTGGACCCCCCGTCCCAGCTATGCTCCCCCCTATCCTGCTGTGCTCCTGCACGCTGGCAAGAACATGGCAGCTGAAAAATCTTGAGACCTCAGTGCCAACTATAAACATCAGTGCGCTGTCAGCGTTCTTCTCAGAGCAAGTCTCAGACTAGAACCAAAACACAGAGCTCTTCGGGCTGCTAAAAAGAAGAGCTAACTCTGTCCCAGCTGAAACCAGGACAGCTAGGTAAAGAATATTATGGAAGACCATTCCCAGTGGTTCCAACACCTTTTCTAGCTTGACCTTTTTTTACTGCATTGTTCAATGAAGCCACATTTAATTAAAATGATGATAAAAATAGTTTGGGAGTTCAGCCTGTAACAAGTCTCACAATATCACTTTTCCATGATTCATATGAATTAATGATAGTCTGTTACTGAGGGCTGTTTTTGTCCCATTATGATACAAAGTTAAAGAGGCTTTCAAGGCAAACAAAAGTTGTATTTCTGATGTGAAACAATCATAAAAAAAATACACAGTTTTAAAGCCAAAATTCTTCTCATGCCTTTTCTGTTGCAGGTTGCCTTTGAGGAAAAATATACTCAAATATCTTAATGAAATTACTTCCCTCAGTAGACTTCTAGTCTGACTTCTTAAAAAGCAGGTCTAACAGATATTCATCAGAGGCTGAGGTTGTATCTAGTAAATCCTATTATTCCTATAAGTCCTATAGCTGAGTGTATTGGCCAACTAAATAGGACTCAGGAGACCTGAACTCTATGCCAGATTCCAAGACTAGCCTTCTGAGAAACTTCAAGCTTCTGTGCTTCATCATCCAAAAAACAGAGCAAATGGTATTGACTGCTTTTGTGAAGAGTTTTGAAATCTGCTTATGAAAAATGTTACATACAAGCTACTTGCTGGTATTCTTATTATCAAGAGAAAGGGCTCTGTGCAAAATTAAGAAGAGTGCCTCAGCACATCTGCTAACCATTAAACATGCTACAGTTCTGATATTTTGTATTATTGGACACTTGGAATGTGTGGTGACAAAGAGTTTTGTCCTTAAAGGCAGACTTGTTGCATGGAGCATGCTTTCCGTATGGACCATAGGCATAAGCCCACATGGTGGAGCATTGTGCCACCAAATGGGTTGTCAGCAGGCTGCCAGCATAGCGCTGATCTGGGCAGAAAGTTGGAGGAAGCCCAGAACATTTACCATACAGTCATGCTGGAGGCTGCCGTTCCAGCACGGTAGGAGCATAGTCAGGCATTGGTAAAGTCTTTGTGAAGACTTTATGTTCTTTAAACCTATAAATCTTTCTCGTCTACAAAGCGTGCCAGCCAGGAGCACTAAGTACTTTCCCACATAGGCAACTTGGTATTTTTTTTCTATCTTGTATGCAGGAAAAGAGAAGCAAAGAGCTGGTTGAGAAAGTCCAGCTCTCCTGACTCATAAACATCTTTTCTATGAAATCAACAATTTCCAGGAATCTGCTACCTAATAGATTGATTTTTTTCCCATGAATTTCATCACCTATGCCATGACTTTAGAAGCCATTTTAATGCTTCATTTTTAAAATTTTTGTTTTCTCTAATGTAACAACAAAATAAATTGTAGTTGATTAGCTTTGATTTTAAGGCCAGGAGGGATAAATAAGTCTTTATCAAAGGAACAGCCATGACAGTATGATTTAATCGATCAAACCTTGTGTGTGCACTAAGCAGTATTTCAAGAGACTTGGAAATCTCCTGGGAAAAAAAGATGATGATTGTTTGGGCAGCTTATGCTTTGTACGATAATTACCATCATTTTCTTCCTTTCCCTGCCCTCACCATGTTTCAGCTTGGTCCGTGTCACTTTGGATAAGGCAAGTGACCTCTTCATTGCCAGTGGTGGAATGGTGTAGTATGCCTGCCTGCCTCTGCTCTTAGTTTGTCACATCTGTGAATGCATATATTTATCTGCTATTCATATACGTATTTAGTATGTTATTATGTTGTGCACTGTGTGGCATATTATATATATTATCCATGGGTCTTACGAGCAGAGCATCCAGAATGTAAACTCAAGAAGTGGCTGGCCTGGCCAGTTTGTAATTCTTTGTTTACTGCAATTCCTGAATCCAGTGTTCTTCCACTGTAGGATCTCACTGTCCTACATATTTCTAGGATTCCACCTAAGCCACTAGCCTTTAGTTCTGATTGATGTATGCTTAGCTTGGGAAAGTGATCTGCAGCTTCAGTTCATGGTTTTCCTCAGGCAATTTCTTACAATATTGCAGACCATTTCAATTCCAACATCAAGACACAACTCTATTAATTCACTGCTGCTACTGTCGTATCATCTCATTTCCCAAAAGCGGTATACAGCCTTTTGGCTGGATATTAATAATATTAAAGCATGTATCACAGTGTCAGTTAAAGTATCTAGAATTGTGTGCCAATTATTTATTTTCCTTTCCTTTTTTTTTATTCCTGTTTCACCACCAGTTGCATTCAGACCAGGATAAAGGAGATGGATCACTTAAGTACATCCTTTCTGGAGATGGAGCAGGAGACCTCTTCATTATCAATGAAAACACTGGTGACATCCAGGCCACAAAGAGACTAGATAGGGAAGAAAAGCCTGTATACATACTCCGTGCCCAGGCTATAAACAGAAGGACTGGAAGACCAGTGGAACCAGAATCTGAGTTCATCATCAAGATCCATGATATCAATGACAATGAGCCAATGTTTACAAAGGATGTTTACAATGCCAGCATTCCTGAAATGTCAGATGTTGGTAGGTTCTAACTAAGAATTGATTTCAGTGTTTGATCTGGGCTTTTTCTGTGGACTTAATGAAGGGCTTGAAGTTTACAGGCAGTGAATACAGACATCTGCTGTTTGAGTCTGGAGTAAATGCACTTCAGCCATTTAGAAAAAAAAATCTAACTCCAGGAAAATGATGACAAGAGTTTGCTGGCATCAGAGGTGTCAGCTGAGTGAAACCAAATCCCTCTGTTGTAGCATAAAAAGTGCAAGTTAATACAATCTAGTTTAGCTCATAATGAATGTGAGCTGAGCTAAGCTGTGTTACATGACATCTGTAAAGAGTTTAATATGCTTTGTTGCTTTTAGTAGTAGTGTAATAATGCGGTAATCTGTGGTCACCTAAGTGTGTTCATACCACCCCTAGATCCGTTCAGCAACCCTTCTTTAGTTCAAGAGGGTAAAAATATGGAAAAGGGCAGATGCAGGAGTGATTGGACACACTTCAGGAGTGAAAATTGTCACCCGAGACAACTTGTCACTGATTCTGAGATATGCCATTAACTTCTATGACTTTTGTTGATCTTTTCATGAAAAAGAAAAAAGCTCCAAAGTCCATTGAAATCTTTCTATTGATTTAAAATGTATCAAGCTGTAAGAATCAATCAATAAAAGAAAAGAAAATAACTTCCTTGAAATATGATTTTAAGATTGGATCTTTTTCATTGGAGTTGACAGGTTTTGATTCTTTGTCTCTAATTCTTAGGGAGGTCATTTTGATTTCTTTGACAGAGAGCGATGGATGGTTAAACTGCAAAAAGCACATTTCTAATTGAAAATAATATCTGGGGAGAGAAGCATTAATGAATCATAATCAAGAACTATATTAAAATAAAGTTCAAGCAATATGAAAATAAAGACTTTGGGGCATACTCTCTGCTCTCATTCATGGGACTTGTCACATGGATGAAACCTCATCTGGTGAAGAGAGAACCTAATATTCACATTTTAATATGTGAAGTGAATACTTTCTTCACAAATCTGTTTTAAATGCCAAAACCTATGCTCATTTTTCATGTTTGTTAACAGTTTGCCTAGGACTCCACACCATTTCTTTCTCTAGAAGACGCATGAAAAAAGATTTACATTCCTATGTCAGACACCTTACAATCATGACTAAATTTGCAAAATTATATTCTTGACCTGGATTCAAATTCTGAATGCCTTCAACATCTGGGGAAGGGTGCATTTCTGGTTTCTTCATAAGAAATATGATGAAGGATCTACATATTCAATCAATAACTATGTATTTTAATGAACTGAGAATAAGCCAACTATCATTTTGTCTTTGTACCTGTGTCACTTATGAACAGAGAAACTTCTATAAAATTAGAATATCTCCAACTTTTTGCCACAAGTTTGACCTGAACCTAAACTACGCTTTGCCTACATCAAAAACCATCTTGGCTATGAAAAATACCTGTGGATTTTTATTTTCTTTAATTTGTCATTACAGGTACCTTTGTTGTGCAAGTCACTGCAACTGATGCCGATGATCCCACATATGGGAACAGTGCTAAAGTTGTCTACAGCATTCTCCAGGGACAACCATATTTCTCTGTTGAATCTGAGACAGGTCAGGGGGCTTTATCTGTCATTCTATGACAATGTCTATAATGTAAAATGACATACTAAGCCAAGCTAGGACATATTAGACAAAACCTTCAAAGAGATTACATCTTACTCAGTGCAAAATCAGACAAACTTAATAGAGTAATACATCTGTAAACATCACATCTACATTATTTTAATCTTACTAGCAAAATCTAATAAATACAATTAGCAGTGAATGTGAACCGGTTTTCAGTCATTTTTAACAAGCAGTGGCTACAGAGACTGCTGTGGATGCTTAAATTAGACCAAATAGGTTGGCTTTTAGAAGAAAACGAGAAACAGGTGGATGTGGAAAAAAGTGCTTAATCCTCATAGATCTTCATAATGGCTAAATTAAGACTGAGAGTTTGTTCAGGTGGGTTTTTTTCCTCCTTCTGCTTCTTCAAAACTTGTTTAAAGTAATTATAATTTCTGTACATCTGCAACATGTCACTTTAATGCTAATTTTATGAAAGAAATCTTAATTAAGAATAATGATAGAAGAGGTAAAATTGGCTGTTGCGCTACACTAGAAGATCACAAATAGAATCCAAAACTTCTGAGTTCTGTTTTTGGAAGATGTTTAAATTATACACAGTGACTGGAATTCATTATGGGCTGAATAACAGACAGCTTTGGAACCTGTGTATGTAAAATATATGGCTTCTGGCTGACTGAATCTGCTATACCACTGACTATCTGACTATATAGACTGTCTCTTCCCAAGATTTATAATAAACTTGTCCAACAAGAAACAAAGTATCTCAAGAAACTCCTTAAATAGGAACATTCATTGTGTTAGGCTGATGGAAGCTAGAGAAATTGGTTTTTCTCAGCATCCTTACAGGAAAGGAATGGATTAGCCCAGACAATTAATCAGGTTTTAGCGTTGTTTCTTTAATAAATCTTAGATACTAAGGCAGTGAAAAGGAGAGGGATTAGATGTCTCAAAGAAAAACCTGAGGTGAAAAAATTACATGATTCTGAAAAGAGGGAAAGCCAAGATCAAAGGAAGCTTTCCTTCAAGCATAAGGTATTAAGTACTACAAGCAAGGATTTTTGCACTGATGCACTCTTTCTGACTTGGACATTATACTATGTGCTCTTCTATCTAGAGTCATAATAAGGACAATGTAGCTGGGAGTTCATCAGTAATAATCTTTTAGTAAGAGAGTTGTATGGGGCACAGAGGGGAAGGAAAGTAAACCACAGACTTGATGTTCCTGCCATGGAAATCAATTGCAAAACTTCTAGAGTGAAATAAGTCTCTGTTGAAGCTGCTGTGGATTTTGCCATGGATTTCAATACTTGAATTTCACTCCTTTTGCCTACAAAGGATTCAGTTCTTAGCCTTAAGAGGAGAATGCAAACATTTTGCTTCATGGTAAATCTGAATGATTGAATTTCAATAGGAGTTGGTCTCGTAAATGGTATTTGTGCCTTTGAAGAAGGAAATGATGGGCAAAATCATTTCAATCAATGTATAAATAGAAATATATATACTTGGGCATGCTTGTATGCTCACAATTTTCTTAATTAATTTCTCTTCTCCCATTTAATGTTGTTGTACTACCTCTTTAATCATGTCTTGCTGAAGTTAGCTTTTTTTATTTTTTTTTTACCATGTCTGTCAAAATAAAAGTATTGACAGGACAGGAGAGAAAAGATGAAGCACATTATAATGAAAAAAGAGCCTTTCTCCAGTTCAGTGAGAGACTTTAGCATGGAACTGAAAGGGGGTAAATAGTTATGTAAAATAACACTGCTCACAGATAGGTAGAACATCTTTCTGAGGATGCCAGTAATATTGTGTCTGTCACATAGGCAGCAGCCTGAGATATGATGTAACAAGTCTGTAATTTAATGTGCCATTTCATAACAGTAAATATTTGTACGGGGCAAAGTTTACTTATTACACAGAGATTGTTTTGTTCTTTAGGCTGTGGGGTTTTTTTTAATAAGAATTTCCATCAAAGTCAGTACCCTACTTGTGAATTCCCCCTCTTTAATTTTCATGTTTTCAGGCATTATTAAAACTGCTTTGCTAAACATGGACCGTGAAAACAGGGAGCAATACCAAGTGGTCATCCAGGCTAAGGACATGGGAGGCCAGATGGGTGGATTATCGGGAACCACCACCGTGAACATCACGTTGACTGATGTAAACGACAACCCGCCTCGCTTTCCCCAGAGTATGGAATATTTACATTCTATGTCTTGACAGTAAAATGGACAAAAATTGATAGGTTTTTATTCACCTCAGATATTGCTTCTGCTGTCATGAACTTATTGAGTATCAGACTTCCTTTAAGAAAGAAAAAAAAAGGCACAAGCAAGCAATAGGATCATACTAAGGTTAATTGCAATAACTGAGAAACGTATCTTTAATATTTTTACTCCAGTTGCAGTAGATAGTCTGAGAGGTGAATTAGTGTATATAAACATTATTTTTCCTACCCTTGAAATAACTTTGACTGTTATAATCTATATTTCTTGTTCAATATTATTTTAGACGTTGTCTTTGACTGCATTTTAAGATATCTGTTCTAATCTAACATATTTAAGTTTTGAAACATATTTATTCAAGTATGTAAAATGCACTGAAGAACAATTTTATCAAAATGAATTCTTACACCCAGGGAAGCGTTTGCCTCAGTGGATTTTCCTATATTCTTTGCATACAGGCAAAGAATATTTTATGTACAAAAGCATGTACATAAACATACCAGATATTCCTGCCTATTTTCCTTCCCCTGTCTCAGATTGTTTTGTAGATATCTCTCTGATATTTAAGGGAATCACTTGAGCCAGATCTCTTAGAAAGTAATTTCTATTAATGATCACTTATGGCCATAAGTGATTCAAAGTGATTCAGCTTTCATTCACTTTTCTTTCCCTCTCTTTCCTTCCTTCTTTCTTCCCTTTCTTTCTTCTTTCTCTCTCTTTCTTCTTTCTTGCTTTGTCTAACCACAGCTCTGTATGTGATGTGTGTGTATCACAGTGTCAGTGTGTGTCAAAGTCAAGAGCAGTTGTTAGAGGAAATAATTGCAGATACTATCAGACAAATCAGCAAGCTTTGGCAGTTAAGTCACTGGGAAAGTTATTGGAAGCAACTTGTCATTTAAGTTCAAAGTCTGTTCTTAGCTGTGGGCAAAGCGTTTCCACTTAAATTAGAGCAGCTTAAGAGAAAATATAGCACTCTGCTTCCAATGAGTTAATTAGACATCTCTGGACATAAGTGTCTTCAATATAAAAGCCAAAGATACAGCTTCATAATGCCAACATTCGCCAAGTTGAGTCTTTTTCAGGGGAGAATTCAATGTAGCGCATTATTAATAAGCATTTGACTGGATTTGGTTTTAGTGTTACTAAACTGCATTGACCTCTGGCAGTTCTTAATATTTGTCTTTTGGCCTGAAGACATTTTTCATATACAATTTTAAAATGGCCAACAGAGACCCTGATAATGTCTAGAAAGGGACGTATGTTGCTAAAGATACATGTACGTGGGAAAACAAAATGCCTATCCTTCATACTAGAAAATAGATACAAAATAAGTTGTTACTTTTATCCACATGAAAGTAAGGCAGAAGCTGAAGGCTGTTACCCCAGGAAGGCCTGAAGACACAGGAACTCACTAACTCATCTGTGCATGGCCAGCATGGACAGTGGGCTGAGAGGTGGTGTCCGAAGTACCATGAGACTGACTAACAAAATTTCCTTCTCTGCCTGCTGTAGGCACATACCAATTCAGAGCTCCTGAGTCTACGCCTCCTGACTCACCAGTTGGCAGGATAAAAGCTAATGATGCTGACGTGGATGAAAATGCAGAGATTGAATACAGCATCACTGAGGGGGATGGGTACGACATGTTTGGAATTACCACAGACAAGGACACACAGGAAGGAATTATAACTGTCAAAAAGGTACACATCTTAACACAATCCTAGTCTCTGAAATACCAGTCAAAACTTTATCTAGCACATATTTGGTTTCCATTTTTAGTGTAACACGAGTTTTTTTTTAATTCAAATGCTATCTATTCGGAATCTCTACAGTACGCATGTAAAGTTTCTTTCATACAAGCAATCGGGGTCTTATATCCTCCTTTACTAAACTAATGCACATACTCTGAAGGACCTGAGAGAGTAAATAACCTAGGGAATGGGATAGAACTGAGAAAAAGATTTGTAGTTTCAACAAATCCACAGAATAACTCAAGGAGGCACCACCATCCAACTGTGATTTTCTCCCTATGATGCTTACAGGATTTTTCACTAGAAGGTGCTGTGTTAAGACCACAGAAATCATCAGTATCACATTGCCTGTTTTGCACTGTCAGAAGGTGTTGAATTGTATATTATGTATTAAAGTACATAGACAATTTTTTTTGACTCACATTTTGCAAAAATGTAATTAATAACTCCATTAGCATGCTTTTGTGTTAGAAAAAAAATCCCAGCTCCTTGCTGGATCACAATGGACATCATCTAATAGGCTGCACATTGGCTGTCAGAAAAGGTTTGAGAAATATTGTTTACAGTGGGTTATCAGGCAAGCTTGATAAGGTTACAGATATCATCCTCCATCAGTTCAAGTTCAGTCATCACTAGATAGATAGACATTGTGTAGATTTTCCAAACATGCACTTGCTTATTGATATCAGTACGACACCTGTCATTACTTGTTTTTTAGGAGATGCCTTCCAGGGGTTGATTATGACATCATTCTAACTCTGTTTGCATTTCTGTCTGGTGCTGACAGAAGCTGTGAATCTTCTACAACACAATGGAAAAACGGGGTGACTACTTTCTCCCCACATTTCTCTAAATACTATAACTAGAGTCGCTAAAGAGTCGCTGAATCCTGCTTCTTCATACTTTTAACAGTGTCATATAGTCATAGCCTATCATAAAATCATGTTTTCCTTGATGGGTGGTCTTGGATGTCCAGACACTAGATGTCACAGTGTTTTCAGCTTAGTGATGGAATGCTAATATTTAAACAAGCAGCTCCTAGAAAATCTTTCCCTCTTTAGTGAGTTTAGTGAGTGGTGGCAACGAATAGACAAGGAAATACCAAAATTCCAAAAATTATATAATAAAAGGCATGAAAAGTTATGACTATTTGAGAAGGAAAGATTAATTGATATTTAGGAGTTTCAGGGATAGAATTCCCTGAAAAAGTGGTCTTTTTTCTATACTGTATTATCAGTAACATAGAGCCCTGTCTTTATCCTTTCTGCTGGCAATTTAATTTCAGTTCAGTCTTCTGTTATCTAGCACAGGCCTCTCCATGACATCCCTCTGCTCATTTGACACATCTGGCTGCAAGCCACAGGAATCCCAAAAGACCTTTCAAACTTCTTTTTTTTCTTTTTCTCTTCCCAGGCATTGGATTTTGAAAATAAAAACTTATATATTCTGAAAGTAGAAGCTGCCAATACTCACGTGGACCCTCGATTCCTCTACCTGGGGCCATTCAAGGACTCGGCTACAGTCAGAATTCAGGTGGAGGACGTAGATGAACCTCCCATGTTCAGCAGACCAGCATACATAATGGAAGTGAAAGAAGATGTTCCAATAAACAGTGTAATAGGAACAGTAACTGCTCAGGATCCAGATGCTGCCAAGAACCCTGTCAAGTAAGCATAGACTGTTTCAGCTTGTGTGTAAATTTTTTGTAGTTTTAATTTTGCTTTTTTCATATTAGCACACACACAAAAAAATCACTTTTAACAATTAAATTGTTCAGATATACTTAAATACGGAGTATTGTAGATCGTAAATGATCTCTCACGCTTGAGCATATCTAGGTATGTGTGATTGTGGTTGCTTGGTCCTTGCGTCTTGAATTACATCCTATCCTCTTCAGTAACTTATGTTTGTGGTTATTTCTACCATGGAAGAATTACTGCAAAAAGAGCACTAAGAAGATGTTAGAGTTCTTTTGCCTTTAATATTTTCCAGTGCAGTTCAGTGCGGTGCATCCTCTTGGCTATGTGACAGGGGAGTGATTCAGCAGCCCTTCTCCCATTCGTCTAGACCTGCTTAACAGCGTCACATTTACCTTCTCTAAACTATGAGTAGAAGTGCCTTCAAAGCAGCTCATGTGCATACATAGACTCTGATCTCACTTGTATCAATGTAAGGTTACTAAGATAAGAATCAGTCTCATGGACTTCATAAATTACACTTGCCATGAATCAATAAACTAGTCTTAGAGGAAGTGGAGGAAATGTTAAGGTTAGAGTAGCTAAACCTAAGCCTTCATTTTTTGTAAATTAACAGGTATGTTGTTTCAGTACATTTGAAAACATACTGGAGTACTTAAGTCATATTGGATAGAGTACAAAACATCTTTTAAATACTTGTATGCATTAATTAAAGTTCATTGCTACTGACAAGGCAGTAAGAGGAGGAAATGAAAAATACAGCAATATTAAATCCAGGTCAATTTTCAGCATGTCTCTGGGTTGGCCACCTTGGAAATGTAATAGTAGTCTTAACATCAAAATAGAACAATGCAAGTTTAATAAAAATCCATTCCATCAATACTTTGCACTTCTGCAAACAACTTTCATCAAGATATCTTACAGTGTTTATGAGGCATGAGTAAGTTTTAAGCTCTCAGCTCATCTTGTGAGAGGGTTGAATATTACCATCTTAATTTCCTACATGAAGAAACTAAATCTGAAATGTTTCTGGCAGAATCCTTCTCTGTCTTCAGTTTACATGCAATGTCCTGCACATGAATTCTTGTTCAAGACTAAGCTTTCTAATTTTAATTAAGATTTGCTTTCATTTACATCATGACATGCAATAGTTATATGCAGTTCTGGACTAGCAGAGCATAGTAACTTAAAAAGCAACAGAATGTTTCGCTAACTTTGGTGTAGCCTAGGGACAGAATGGACACCTTCTATAGCATATCTTCATGGGCATGCTAGCATGAAGATGAAAAATTGGTTGGGGTGACATCCAGGCTCCTTGCAGCCTTCATATGATGCTGCTTTTTAATAACTAATGGCACTGGAGAGTGAGGGGAGTGCTTCCCTGCTTCCCTGTGGTGATAACTACAACCATTTGCATTTCACACCAGCACCAGCTCCTAATTATAGGTGATTTACAGTGGATAGGGATTATGCTTTTCATTGTTGAGTACTGCCTACTGGCTCTTTTCTACTAATTGAATGCATGTGCTAAAACTTACCTGTCTTTCAAAGGGCAGTTCTTTAATACAGTATAAGTACTTTGCATATTAAAGCATCAGATAATTAGCTAGCAAAATTTAGCAGAGGTGTCAAAACTGATGCACTGCAGCAGAAAACTAATCTCTTTTATACTCTAATAGCATGCAACAATCAAGGTGAAAGAAGAAACAGAAAAATGAGGAAGAGGTTAGAGTAATAGAAATAAACACAGCAAGAAGAAACATGAACATCAGTAAGAGAGGAAGGAAATCAGCAGAGAGTAGTAGCCTAAGAGATGTTAGCTTGCAATAAATGTAATTTTATGGTGCTAATATCTTGGGTATCTCCTAGAATTTAGGGCCATGGGTTGAGTCTGCATCTTTTTGACAGGGTGGGGTTTTTTTCCATCATGCAGTAGAGATGCTAAATCCAATTTTCAGTTTGAGCTTCAGGGAAGATGCAATTAGACGGTATATATGTGACTTGTCACTTGCTTGTCAATTTTTCTTGACGGTTAAAAATAAAATCTTTAGACACTTGATATTACAATGAAAACCTTCCATTTTCTTCTCTACTCGAGTGAAGATTTCTCTTTTTAAACAAACTGAGCCCTAACTCAGATGAAAGCCCCTTTGATCTTCCATTAAAGGAAACCTTCACAATATCATTATGAAAATGCATTATGAAAAATTCACACACACATCTCTTCCTGACCCACAAATCTTCCTGACTTGTGGTTACATTAGACAGCAAACTGCTGTACATCAGAAGACGATGAAGCAATAGCAAAATATGAAGCGGATATCTGCCCTGGTTGTAAGAATGCATAATGGTCCGTGACCTGTGTATTGGTAGAGCTTTGCTCCATCAGTCCAGCCCTTATAAATAAGCTTTGCAGTGACACAACATTAGGAAAATACAAAAATACTCCAGTAGATGTTTGGCTATGTTTGAATATACATCCATGCGTAGTGTCATTTATACACTCCTGAGTAACACTCCACTGTCCAGATATGTTATAAAAAAAATTTTGTATTGTTTGTGTTTGATATAAACAGAAATATTATGAACCACTGCAGACTGAAAAAATAATGCTGCAACTGGCACTGCTGTATTGTACATCAGATCTATTTAAATTGCCAGTTGAGTTTTTTTGCTATAGTAACTCCTCAGAGGCATAATGAAGTTCATCAGTCACTGGAACTATCTCCCTGCTGTGATTTGATTTACTAAAGTATCCCAGATGAAAATGATCTGCAAACAAATGTAAGACTTAATTTTGTTGGTGTATTTTACTGACAACATGTTTGCATGTGTTAGATTCTCCCTTTCACCCTTCCAGTCTTCCTGTTATGTACAAGGAGAGACTAGAATCTACATCAATTCCTTTTAACTTCCTAGCTTGTCAATTCCTCAAGGTTTGAAAGGAATGGAATCCTGAGATCTGACAAATACACACCAGTAATTTCATTAAATAAGTGTAAAAATAAGTTTGTGCTGTCTGCTTAATTCTTACTAGGTTATGATCCCTGAGTCAGAATCACCACCAATTCAACATAATTAACAGTCCTTGATCAAAAGAGACTGGATTATGCAAACTGAGAAAGAGAAGTGACAGTTTAACTTATTAAAATCATCCTTCTAGACCAGGGTTAATGGTATAATTAGAATATAATTTAACTGCATGGACCTTGTACGTATTTTCTTTTGGATATGAAGAAATAAAATTAACATTTCATTAAGAAGCTGTTCTCTGGTTGGTTTTTTTTTGTGAGTTTAACTTTCTACTATACAAATGACTGAATATACGTATGGTTTTACAAGGACTTATATTTTAAAATTCTTAATATCTTGAAGAAGTCCTCCTCAATGTTACAGCTCTGGTAACCTTAGAAAAAGTCCAGAACATATTTTTTTTTCATTTCTTCCAGATATTGTACCACAGATTGAATTTGGGAAATCTTACAAAGTAAAGATAGTGATTACAATATCCCAAGGCATTAAAACGTGCTAAAGCAGTAAGACATTTTAAGTTTATTCATAATATGAAGCATGAGTGAAAGCATAATGGAAGACAGAAAAAACAATAAATGGATAACTCATGCCTAAAGCTAGTTGCTTACTTAAATATGTTGCTGAATAAGAGCCTGAAACATACTATTACAGTTGGCTGGAACAGCTAATCTATGGAAAATCCTGATATCTCATTTCAAATAGGAAAGCAAAATCTAGATTTACTGCAGAATGGAAATACCAAAGTATTTCAGCTGAAAGATATGGAAATGAGCTACGGAATATCTGAAAAATAATTGAATTCACAAAATACCAACATAATATCATATAAAAGCCTGACTGAATGAAAGTTAAAATGAAATGTTTACCATATCAAATACTTACTTTATCAAAATATAAGAGAATCAGACCAGTTTGTACAAACTTGTTTCCATCAAACATTTCAGCTAAGTCAACAAATTCACATATACTATTTTGATTTGGACAAAACAACACAGCTTGCTGGTGCTGTCCCATCAGTCAGCACTGCCTGTTAAATACCTTCTCACATACCCTTTTCAAGCTGACGGTAAAGTTACAATGCTGCACAAAGGAACTAGGTTAGTGACACCACAGCTGACTTCATGCAGCTGAAATTGTGGTACTGTTAGTTCAAGAGACAGCAACAAAAACTAAATCAACTGCGAAAAACTAGCAAGGTGTGCCTATGCAATCCCTACCAAAAAGTTAGCTTTTTGTGAGTACCTTCCAATCTCAGTTGGTTGTTTCCATAGGAATGTAATGTGGAAAAAGAAAAACAATTTAGTGCAAATAATTAGTACTTGCTATAGTTTTGTTTAGGAAGGTAGGCTACACTCAAACTCTCATTTTAGAATAAGACCAGTCTAATTTGTTATGGGTATTATATCCCTTTTTTTTAATTGTAAAGAAGAAAAAAAAATTGCAGTTACAAGATAAATAGCAAGTTAGTTCATTTTAAACCTTTGTCAGAATCACATGTTTCAACTGGACTCTTTCTCAGAAGTTAAGAGGTACTGCACAGGCACTGGGAAATCTGTGCAGAACAAAGGACACATCACATAGCTGCTCCTAGGGCACAGCAGGGAATGGAAATTTTTCTTCAGCCTCTGCATTCCCCTCAATTCTGTAGTGGCAGTAAACTCTACCAGTCATTCTCCTGGCCCAATTTTCATCTGACTGCATAACAGCTCAGCCGTATCTTTATCCTTTTCTGGACACAAGGGACAGCAGTAGCTGCCTTGTCTTCATCACAAGGAGAAGTAGCTGCCTTGTCTCATGCAAGGAGACCAAGGCAGCACACCAGGCCTCCTAAGGCTCTGTCCTGGATCGTACATCAGCATACATTTAGGCTTGAAATAAGAGCAAAATAATAATGCAATAGTATTCTTGTTTTAGCAACATCAGGGACATATTTCCATGAAAACTCTGTAATTTATCCAAGAGTTTTCTCTTCATGAGAGATAAAACCAAGTCACAGCATCTATATCAGGGTGGTAGCACCCTCTCCCATGAACTGGACACTTCTGCTTTTAAAATTGGATTCAGTTCAGCAGAAAATGCAAAAGATCAGACTGAAAATTTGAATCTGTGTTTAGACTCTGAGCTACTCCAGAGCTTGATAGCATTCATTTTCGCATCTAGATACCATCAAGCAGGGCTGAGCATGTCAATTTTAATGAATTACAGCAAACTTTTATGTGATATATAGTATGGAATAATGAATCTCTGTTCAGTGCTTGCTTGTTTTTGGGGGGCAGTCTTTTTATAGGCTGGGAAATGAAAGGCAGAAATGCACCCCAGCTGTCAAATTTTATATAAAAAATTGATTTGGAACAGTTGAGATATCAAACCATAAAAAGAAGGTTTTATGATGGGAAAGCCAACTCAGCCTTAAAATAAACTTCATATCTTTCAGGACATAGACTTCACATTTCTCACTAAAAACAAAGCTTTGATGATTCTCAGAGGTATGTAAATTCCACAGTAATTCATTTATTCGGTGACAATGCTCCACCTTCTAAATCAAACCTCCATTATCCAGTAGCTCAGAACTAGCTCTTTGTGTGAATATATAAAGACTCTGAAGCCTGTGCTGAAAACAAAAGGTAACCCCATTTACTAGCTGTTTGATGTCTAGTCTTAGAAAATGGTTTAAGAACATAGAAATGAAAAAGAAAACATTATTCTAACCCCTGTGTCTGTATTTGCAGGTACTCTGTAGATCGACACACTGATATGGACAGAGTATTCAACATCAATTCAGGAAATGGTTCGATATTTACTTCAAAACCCCTTGACCGGGAAATACTGCTATGGCACAACATTACAGTAATAGCAGCAGAGATCAGTAAGTCAAACCTAAATACCACTGCTGTCCTGATGTAATGAATTTAGCTTTCTAGCTGAGCGTGTGGAAAGCACGGCTGGACAGATGTCAGGTTATATGGATAGTCCACTCAATACTAATGAAGAAGCAGAAACTCTGCAAGAGGTGATCTTCAGTTTTGTGTTTACTAGGGACACCGTTCTTGAAGAAGTAACTTAGCTGAGCCGGAAGGAGAGGTAACAGTTCTGTGTTTTCTAATCAGTAACAGCTATTTTTCATTTTGAACATGGTTGTTGAATTCTGAAATTGGCATGCAGCAAGCAAGATGGTTTAAAGCCAAACTGCATTTCATGGCTGAATCAGTCTGATCCAGACTGAATATAGCACGGGCTAGATGTTTTCAGGCAAGGCTGAGGTGGCTGGGCTGAGCTAGATGCCCAGAACTTAATCAGTTTTAAGGATTTCCATTTTTAACTTCTTTCATGTCCTTTGAAATTATGAGCTATGGTTACAAATCAGTCTGTCACTTCGTTTAGGATTGCTCAGAAGAAGTAATCTTGTGATTACTTGTGATGAGTCATGTTGATTTTAGGAGCTGGAATGCCAGGGATCTAGATAAGGACTTGTATGCTAGGTGGCCTTAATAAACAATTCTTTTAACACATTAACTATAAGTATGTGACATGCTCAAATATTAGAGAATGCAATTCTATTTGCTTTTGCAGAGTCATAGTGCCTGTGATTGTGAAGCATGGTGGAATGGTAGGTAGATGTAATATAAACACCAGTTCTATGACCATCACAAAGTCTTTGTGCAACTTAGAGGCTAAGTGGCCTTTTTTAAAAACAAACAAACAAACAACATATTCTTAGACAATACAAGCTCTACTTTCTTATGTTGTGTGTACCTGTCTGGCTCAGTCAGCTGCTGAACAGTGAAAAGAGTATAACTAAGGAGTACTTGACTCCATCTTTTTTTATTCTGAAGGTCTTTTTAAAACTGAAAACTGATGTGAAACAATACTATTGAGGCAAGCAGATGCATTTATGTAAAACAGTAGTGGGCTAGAGCCTACAGTAGTGGGTTAGAGCCTACAGGAATGATGTTTTTAATAGTTTTCTCCCTCTCTTGAAAGTTTGCACCTTTTAATGCTAGATACGTGGTTTCAGCATACCAAACACGGATATTTGCCTGCCTCTTAGTCAGGTGTTTATGTTTCTATTAAGTCTTTGAAGGAGTGATCTAGGGTCAAGAGTTGTACACTACAGACTGAGCTCCTGGGTAGAGGAGGAAGGAAAAGTAAACACCTGAAAAGAAAAGAATAGCAAGAACACACAAGCAAGAATAGCAAGCACACTTGCATTGATCTCAGCAGAGCTGATATAATATACAAATATAAAATATTTTTATATTACTATTATATATATGAAATACAATATATAAATTGTATTACTGTCTGAAAACCAACTTAGCATCTATATGAAATGCTCATTTAGTTCTTGGCCTCCTCCCCTAAAGACAGACCTTCTACTGGGTCAAACCCTCTCAACTAAACCTTTTGTGTCTGACACAGGCTTCTGTCTTAATCACTATTCCTCTTTAGTCTGAATCCTTCCAGGCTGCAACAACCTACCTCCCAGGCTGTGCTTCACTGAGCTTAGACCAAATTTGGCATAACTGGAGTAGATGCCTTCTGAAGGCGATTCTCTTTGTTAAAATACAGCTAATATTTAAACAAGCCTTGGTCTGATCCAGGCTACCTCACTAATTTTAGTCTCAAGAGACTAGACTGGAAAGCTTCACTGCTTAATGTTCCTAGGTAAAACCAATAATTTCTAACAAAGCTAGCTAAAGTCTCATTCCACTAAATTCCAGCTAATCACTGATTGCTCTGTGACATACCATCACATCAAAATCCAGTTATATTTCACTGAAGTAATCTAAAAGAAATGTCCAGTCAAGATACAGGCAGGATGAGCATCTAGATGGATGGATGTTCCCTTTGATATAAAAAAAGTGAAAAAAAAAAAAAATCATAAAAAGAAACACCTTTTAGGGGTGACTGTTCCTGATTTCATTTTACAGTAGAAAAAAAATGAAAATATGTAAGTTGTTTTGCCTTTAATTGTCTAGAATTGTCAGTAAGTCTAGATAGCTCCATTTTTTAATGTTCTTCTTCTTCACCAGTATGAGCGGCAGTTGCTCAGCAGCCCAGAGAATCGTGCTGTGAACGTTGCAGACACGTAGTTAATGAAACACTGGGTCCATACATCTGCCATAGTCAGAAGGCAAAATGGCAATAAAACTCAGTACACAGGGCTACGGATTCACAGCTGCAGAATTACAGCTGATTTACCAGAGAGAATTCACAGAATATTTTTAAATAAGCTTTACTTAACGCTTAAGAGTAAATCGCACATTGACAGGACTTTGAGGCTGTAATTAGAAAAAACTATTTAACAGTTTGGTTGCTAGTTCAACGGAAAACACACCACTATAGAGATGAATAGATTTAAGCAGTTGATTGAGTTTCTGGAGCTTTTTTTTGGAGATGGACCCCAGCAGTAATTAAAGGATAATGCAAACAAGTTAACTTAATTAGTTTGCAAAAATAATTTGAAAGATGGCCAAAAAAAAGGACTAAAAGATGTATACATATATTTCAACCTAGATTTCAATTAAATCAGGAAAAAAAAAGTGTCCTTAGAGCATAGAGTTTTTATGAAGCTTCTATCTATTGCAATATCATTTTAAATTGCAACAATCTTAAGCACGTAGAAGTAAAATGAAAATATGTAGTTTATGTTTCAAAAAGCAGGAAAGAAAAGAATTGTAATTCTTGAGAAACATTTGCCAATATATTTGAATGCATTTGTTAGAAAGGTATGCCCTTATAAAATAGTCTTGCCAATAGTCCTGCAACCTCAAATGAATATCTTTGATTTCTGCTTATTATAAAAATTCAACATTTGTATTGATGTATTTCAGCATACAATTCAGCCTAGTCTATATTATACATAAACTGTTATTTTATACATTGAATGAATTTAGCCCAATGGTTCATATTAGAAAGTGGTTTATACTTAATGGAATCATATTAACTTCAATGGAACTGTGGAGGTTTAAAGCACAATATTTTGTCCAAATGACTGAGCTTTATAATACAAATATATAGTGCCAATTTTAGAGAAGGCATTTTCAAATTTATGAAAGTATGATAAACACAGTAATAGGACTTTTATTAAAGCCTAACTCAACAAGCTACTATAATGGATGCTTGTAGAAGCATACAGAGTCCTAGACTGGCTATATTTTATTGCAGTATTTTTTTCACTTGAATCATAGGTTAAAATGCATTAATAAACTATATTAACATGGGTAGGAAATTAACACAGCAAAACTCAATGTGAGCCCTCTGAAAGGGAGGAGGAAGGTATTTATTTCAAAGGAAACTAACTTCAGTCACACTCATTCCTTCACAGATTTCACTCTCTCACATTCTCACACCCACATGCTCCTAGGCACTGAGGTGGGTACATCTGAGTGACCTGGCCTAGATCATTTCTTGGGTGATTTGGAGCACAAAGGACACAGATCAAGTCCTGACAATGTCCCTTGGTTTCCTTTTGACTGGTGATGACAAATTTGTTTGGGGGCAGTTCTTGTACCTTTTAGGAGTCAATGGTTGTTATGATGTGACTTTTTGCTTCAGAATGTTCCCTATTTCACCATTCACGGCTCCTAGGCAAGGTTGCTGCCTGTTGCCTTTCCTCATTTTGTGTATCCTCATGACTAAAGCCTGTCTGCCCTCAACAGGAAAAGGAATGGTCCAACAAGACCAATAGTCCAACAGGAAAAGGAATGATCTGTACAATGTGGTGCATTTCCAAATGTTTTCACTTCTATCTAGAAAGATGACAATGTTCTTATCACTATTTTATGCTCAGGAATATCCTTGTTAAATTCAATCTCTTGGCACTACACAGTCCTCATAGGGAAAAAAAAATATATTTACATATGGGGATCTGCAGGTTCTATAGAGTGCTTTTGTTCTTCAGCTGATACATTTTAGTGTTAACTCTAGAATATCAGCCAAATCAATTCACAACAGATTAGAAAATATCTGTGATCACAGTTACTATTTATTTAACATAATGGTAATCATGGTAGCTTAAGGAACTGTGTCACGAGAACAGAGTATTATATGTAACAGGTGGAGAGGGAAAAAACCCACTCCATCCCATCTTCATGAATCTTCAGTCTTCCTGTTTCAAAGTTAAGGAAGATAATATGTTCTAGAAACTTTGTTGCCACTGAATTGTATCAATTAGGTTAATAAATAGATTTAATTTAATTCCAGTATTATAGTTATACATATATACGTATCCCCCATATATTCATAGTCATACTTGGAGTATTCAAAGGAATTTTTAAATCCTGGACTTCCACCCAATCTTAACTGCATAACTTACACATAATCAGAGTAATAATGACACAGCACAATTTTGTGGGATTCACTGCATAACACATTCCCCTGAAATCAACAGAATATAAGTGGAGTGTTGTGAGTGAGTAGTAGTAAGGCAATGAGCCCCTAAGTCTGTCCTTTTCTTGTCCAGCACTGAGTCAGTAGCTAGGCTAAATGAAATCTCTGTTCTTTCTGGTTTTATCATTTCAGACAACCCAAAACAAAGCAGCCGTGTCCCAGTGTTCATTAAGGTTTTGGACGTAAATGACAATGCTCCAGAGTTTGCCATGTTCTACGAGACCTTCGTCTGTGAAAATGCAAAGGCAGAACAGGTGTGTTGTCTGCTTGAACTAAGAAATTATTCCAAATTAATTGGGTTTTGCTACTACTCTTGCATCACCTCGTCAAGCAGTATACTTCGCATTGCATTGAACTGTCAGTTTTGCGAAATTAAACGAAACAGTGGCTGCATAGTATCTGATTACACTTAGTATTCTTACAGTTAATGTGACAGTATGTTTTACACTGTTGTTTTCTGTACTGCACCTTGTTACCCCTGATTCATTTCCATTCTGTGATTCTCTGCTTTAATCAGACACCTCCACTCCCTCTTTCAGATCTGTAAACTGTTACAGGTCCTGTCTGTGATATAACTATTTCCTGCCAGCCAGCTCTCACTCTACTAGTCCTGCTACTAAATGGTTCAAAGTAGCAAATCATTTGGGAAGATTCAGCCAAACAATTCCTGTGACATGAGATTTGGGTAGCTAAATATACAGTAACCTTGGACTGTCTCACCTTTCATCACTATTGTTTGTCACATGCAAGGTTTCCTACCTGTCTGGAGTGGCATCAACCCAAGCCTGCTTTCGAATTCAATGTGATTTTCCTGCCAACTTTCAAATTTATTATGCTACTGGCTGATAGTATGGGATGCAATAGCATGGCAATCCTAAACAGCAGCAGTAGCACATGGATCACTTTTCTTAAGCTCACCATAGCATTGTCAGCTGTCTTAAAGCAGAATAAAAAAACAAATACAATAAGATTGCTTTACAATCCTAGGGTACATAAACAAGCATAAAGTCCACTGACTTTGAAGACAATTTTGTTCTTATTGTTTCAGCTGATACAAACATTAAGTGCTGTTGATAAAGATGACTCGTACAATGGACATCAGTTTTCATTCTCCTTAGCTCCTGAGGCAGCCAGCAGCTCAAATTTTACACTACGGGACAACAGAGGTGAATTTTTAGGAAGACTTTTCTTTATTATCTCATCCTTGCTTTCAGTCTTCAGATGAAGTTTTAATGCATGCTTTGTGTTTTCAGACAACACAGCAGGGATTTTCACCCGAAAAAACAGATATAATCGGCATGAAATGAGTACCTACTTCTTGCCAGTGGTAATATCAGACAATGACTTCCCTATTCAGAGCAGCACTGAAACGGTGACTATTCGAGTATGTGCTTGTGACCATCGAGGAAAGATGCTGTCCTGTAATGCAGAAGCCTTGATTCATCCTACTGGTCTTAGCACTGGGGCTCTTATTGCCATTCTTCTCTGTATCATTATATTACTTGGTAAGTAGCTCGGAAGCATTTTATTCCTTTCATGGCTATTTTGCGTTGTTACAAGTGATTATACCAAGGCTAGGATAAGAGAAAAGCAAAGATATCCTTGTCTTATCCTGCATTTGTGTTGCCGTATTTCCTGCTTCTGAGGGCTGCTACAGATGTGGTGTATAGAACACATCCTATCTAGTCTTAGTTATCTAAAAGTTAACAAATGTCCAAGCAAGAGGAGACAGCTGGGCTCCATCCTCTGGTCTATTGAAAGAGAGACGCACCTGTAGAGAGACATTCATCCCATCCCCTTATTGATACCTGAGGTGGACCAGACTAATCACCCTCTGCAGATGTCTGTATCTTTCTATTGACCATAGAAGGAGGCCAGATTAATTGTTTAAAACTAAGTTACTTTGCATATCTAAATGAAGGAACAAGAAGTCTCAGTGCGTCTGTTCTGCTGGAAAAGGATGCTGAAATGAGGTGGCTACTAAAGCACTCTGTCAAAAGCTGCAGCGTGTCGTGGTTTTATAATAAAAGGAACTGAGGGTCGAGACAAGAACAGAGAGAACCCCCACCAGCCATGGTCCCGGGCAAAACATGACTCAGACTTTTTTTTAAAACAAAACAATTTATTAACAGTTACTTAACAAGAGACAAAAGGGAATGAAACCGGTTACTTGAGAGGATAAAGAGAAAACAAGGCCAGATCTTAAAACAACACCTCCCCACCCCCCTTTCCTTTTGTTCCTGGCTCTACCTCCCCCCAGCAGCACAGGGGGACAGGGAATGGGGGAGTGCAGGTCAGTTCATCCATGATGTTAACTGCCGCTCCTTTCTTAAAGGAGGAGGAGTCCTTACACCATTTTTCCCTTGATTCAGTGGATTCCCTACTCAAGAGGAAAAAATCCCTGATGCCATCCTCACACCGATTGCAAGGGAAACCTCAGCTCCAGCACACCTCCTCCTGCTCCATCTTGACTGACCTGGCCGTTGTGGTTATTTTCTCTTAGATCTTAATCCTCTCTGGGGGAGCTCGGCCCGGCGAGCACCCTGGGAGCGGGGCGCTTCCCGAGTCCCCCATGCTGCTCCCCCGGCGCCATCTTGAGCACGTGGCGCCGGCCTGGGGCCGAGCAGCCGCCCGGCCGGAAGCGAGGGCAGCGCCCTCCTCCCCTCTCCTCGCTCCTGGGCAAAAGACCGCAAAAAAGACCATGCCTCCCGTCTCTTTGTCTCAACTTAAATAGGGCAATTCACAGAGGCGCCAATTTGGCTCAACCCCCGGGGGAGATGGGACCCAGGTCTGGTGGTCAGGGAGCAAATCCCCTCTCCTGCCACCAGAACACCGCACCCCACCCCCCCCATCAAGCTATCACACAGGGACCTCCCTTTCAGGCACCTGTCAATATGAAGAGGTTGGATCCTGAGCGGGCAGGATGTACAACACTGCCTACAACACTTACAAGTCATCAACTTTTTTTTTTTTTTAAATAAAAATAGAGACAGTTTGCAATCTCTCTCACATTCCTCTCACTCAGGTTCCACCCCTCTTGTACAGCAGAGTACAATCAGTCCCTCTGCCATTAGCCATAGTCTATTAATCTGGGGAGAACTGTACAATAAAACAGAGGCAGTTCTCAGGGAGACGTTATTAGTCACCTTTAGTATCTGGTCAGGAAAGAAGGAAGCCAGACCAATTTTATAGCAGTAGAGTCAAGCAGGGGAGAAAATGTTTCCCCAGTGATTCCACTTCTTTCTACCATACTCGTATCTTCCTTGGACATGCTTATCACCACTGCAGAATCATCCTGGCCTTTACTATTAGAATTTCCCTCTCCAGTCATGAGTCAAAGACACGTTGTGATTCTCAAACTTCAACAGTATAGTCATGGCTTGCCCAAATAAGCACTATCGCATTTTCAGAACAGATTCCCACAATAACAGTCTTACCCTTAATTTGCCATTAAATTCATTCTTTGAAACATGGTTTCACTGCCTCTAAGGTCTGAGCTCACTTTGTATCAAGTTCCTTACCAGAAAAAGAAATCTAATGCTGCAGATAGTCTTGCACTCATTAGTACAACTGTGTTCATTAATATCAATCTGACATTAAATGATTTCCTACTTTATATCGATCAAAAATAATTGATTCTGTGTGCTGAGCAGCACTTTATGTCAATTACTGCTCACGCCACCATGCACCATAAGCAGATTTTCAATTAACTCAGCTATATAATTTTCTGTTTTCAAGGTTTGCATGTGCAACCACTACTGAGTGAAAAACAACACTCTGGGCAGACCTGAACCACAACTTCAAGTTTAGCAGCAACAAATAGTGCCTGTAAATTACTAGGTTTATCTGCAGTTTGAGTAAGTCTAGCAGCTCATCAGAAAGTCTCAGATACTGCTGAACACTGACATGTAAATAAAGGTGATGTACTTTAACATATAGAATCATAGAATGGTTAGGGCTGGAAGGGACCTTCAATGGTCATCTAGTCCAACCCCCCTGCAAGGAACAGGGATATCTCCAACTAGATCAGGTTGCTCAGGGCCTCGTCCAACCTGGCCTTGAACGTCTCCAGGGATGGAACATCCACCACCTCTCTGGGCAACCTGTTCCAGTGTTCTACAACTCTCATGGTAAAAAATTTTTTCCTAATATCCAATCTGAATCTACCTCCCTCTATTTTAAAACCATTACCCCTTGTCCTATCACAACAGGCCCTCCTGAACAGCCTCTCCCCATCTTTCTTGTAGGCCCCCTTGAGGTACTGGAAGACCGCTATAAGGTCACCCCGGAGCCTCCTCTTCTCCAGGCTGAACAGCCCCAACTCTTTCAGCCTGTCCTCATAGGAAAGGTGCTCCAGCCCTCTTATCATCTTCGTGGCCCTCCTCTGGACCCTCTCCAACTGGTCCATGTCCTTCTTATGTTGGGGGCTCCAGAACTGGACGCAGTACTCCAGGTGAGGTCTCATGAGGGCAGAGTAGAGGGGGAGAATCACCTCTCTCGACCTGCTGGCCACGCTCCTCTTGATGCAGCCCAGGATGCGGTTGGCCTTCACACATTGCCGGCTCATATTGAGCTTCTCGT